CTACCTTGAAGGAATGACACATACATACTGTTAGAGGAGTGGTTCACTGCTTTTTGTAACATTTATTCCAGAAAAATACATTATTCACTCTGTTCAAACCTCATTTGGACCAAAATGGACCTTCAGCACAAAGGAAAACATGACAAAATGCAAGAATGAGGAGAAATTATTGGAAAAGCAAAGCAAGGGGAGGACATGGGAAGAAGGGGATGAGGTGCATGCTTGCAAATTAAGTGCAGGAAGGAGAGTGAGAACAGCTAATTGAGGAAATGAGCAGAGGGAAGAAGAAAAATAATGAATGCTCCACTGAAATGTTACAGCGCAATCTCCCACTTTCCAATATAAACTGTACAATCAGTACCATTCAATCTGGCTATAGTAACCATCAGGGGGAAGGGGTAATGGAGGGAAAGAGCTGCAGTGCTTGTACTTGATTCCATCAAAATGGCTACCATGGCAGGTTGTCCTTTAACAACTCACCTAGCTTTTCTGGATGCTATTTTCATACAAGTATAATTTATTGAGAGCAGAAACAACTCTCTGAAAAGTATCCTGAGACACTGCTAAAAAAGACCTGGAGCTCATTGTTTAATCTGGTGGCAAAATACTCAGCTGTTAAGTATTGTTGAAATCAAAAATAAATTAATAGAAAGAAAATAATCATCAAGTGCACAACAACAGAGAGAAATTCAAAAGAAATACCAGCTGAAAGAGTAAAAACAATTTTAAAAGGGAAAGGAAAAAGGAAAAAAATTGAATACAAGAATGACAAATAGAACCTGAGCATGCTTTCTTTTCATGCTACAGTTGATAAGGACAAAGGAGCAACATTATGGTTACATTTAATGATGCATTAGATTGCAAAGAGTTAAGTAAGTTAGTTAAATATCCACATCTAAAAACATGCAAAGAGCAGAGTAAGGGAACAAGAGGGAAATAGAAACAAAGACAAAAAAGAGTACTGTGACTTAGTGAGCAACCAAGGGGGTTGGTGATAACAGAGGAGGTGTTCCAGTTATGAGGCATTTCCTGTAGTGTGGAAACTGACACAATCCAGAAAGCAGGAGCTATGAGAGTAGCAGATGCGTGTTTGTTCTTGTCACTGCAGCCACAACCATTATAGGGAAGTAATTTATTGCTGCCAACAAGTTGGCTGCTAAACTGGCAAAAGAAAAGAAGACAGGAGAGGCAAGTAATAGCATTAGCCAATTGAAATATACTCCTAGGCCTGTGAACTGGTTGCCTCTTTTCAACACCACCATTTCTATGTATTTGGGTGTTATTAATGGATGCATGGTTCTTCCAGTGCCAGATTCTCCATCTTTGGTTCTAAATGGGATGGCACTTCCCCAAACAGAACCAATGTGCAATTTGGGAGTCCTCCTGGATTTGCAGCTCCTGCTCAAAGAGGAAGACCTTCACAAAGATTCATCTGATGTACCAGTTGTGCCCTTTCCTGGACTGAGAGTCCCTTATTACTGTCACTCATGCCTTGGTCACCTCGCATGTGGATTATTGCAATGCATTCTATATGAGGCTGTCTTTGAAGACCACTCAGAAACTACATGTGGCCTAGAACACAGCAACATGAACAGTTATAGTCACACCTCAGTATACCAATGTTAATATCTCTGCTACGCAAACTGCACTGGTTACCAGCAAGCTTCCAGTTATAATTCAAGGTGATGGTTATCACCTATAAAGCCCTTCACAGCATATGGCCTGGAGAGAGGGTACTTCTCTCCCATCATTTTTGTCCACCATGAAAGATCCAACAGAACAGATGAGCTTTGTTTCCCATCCATTAAGCAATGTCTTCTGATGGGATCTAGGAAGTGTGCCTTCTCTGCTGAGACACCCTGACCTTTCAAACAACATCCCACAGCACATGGAAGTTCAGACTGCCACAACTCTGCAAGCTTTGAACTGTCTTTGAAAACCTGAGTTTTTCATCAGTCTCTGAGACAGAAGGGAGGGTGCTCATCTGGTTGGCAGTGCCTGTTTCAGTTAAGGTATATCTGTTCTCCCCATTATGTTTACTGTTAAGTTTAGTTTTTAAATATATTGTAGTGGACAGCCTTAAAATGCAATAAATAAATAGGTGGGAGCAAAACAGCTGAGTTCTAAGTCAGATGGAAGACAGCAATAGAGGAAAATGAAGGGGGAAGGGAATGTGCCACAAGCCAAGTCTGCTATATTCCCATATAGTTTAACAGTTCATAAATATAATTTATTCTTATTGCATGATGAAATAAAATAAAATTATTAACTTGAAACACCTTTACTGGTTCTAATATTGGGAGTTTAATCACCTTTCAATTTGATTCTACTGGATCATATCTGTTTCTTTCAATCTACAAACTGCCGCCATACCTATCCTTAAAACCATCCAGAACATCTGAAAAATAGCTCTTGAACTGCTCCTATTTCTGAAAACAAAAATATTGTTTTGCTGAAATAAAGCTATTCTGTCATCAAATTCCAGCACTGTCATCCTAGGGTACATAACATTTTTTTACAACCTTTTTTTTAACTACTTAAGAGACCAACTGCAATCCATTTCTTTTCTCAGCCTCTATACAGTCAAAAGGAAAAACACCCTCTTCTTCATAAAGTTAGCTCTGCTTTCCAACTGGAAGTGGTGGAGTTAACTCTTTCCTGTCAGCTCATCTTCAGGGACAGAGAATACAGGCCATTGGACATTGCAACATAAAAGTATATGGGTGAATCTCATGTGTAGTCACGCAATGAACGTGTGGTTGCCAGCAAAGCAAGACAAATTCATCTAAGGTGCTGTGATGACTAACAGCAGTAATCAAAGGCTGACCATTTGTCATTTTTTTTAAAAAATGGATTCCTGCACAAAGACAAATTAATTATCCAATTTAGGATTCTTTGCTGGAATAACAATCCATAGCACTAATACCACCTTTTAATGTTTTTTTCCTTCTTCTCGTGTATTATTATTTTTGTGGTTTTTATTCTTTTTGCTATTAATTAAAAAGCAATAAAATTATTTAAGATTTCAGATAACTATCCGGCTTCTCTTTGAGGACCTCCAATGAAAGAGAATACAGCAAGTCATCTAGTTGACAGCTTTTACTGTCAGGAAATTTCTCCTAATATTCAATCCGAATCTATTTAATCCATCAAATTTGCTCCTGCCCTTCAGGGCAAGAGAGAACAAATGTACTATCTCCTCTATATGACAACCCTTTATATATCTGAGGGCTGCTACCAGATCTCCCCTCTGTCTTTTGATCTTCAGGCAAAGAGAAAGACTTAAAAACAAACGTCTTATTATTTTCCTAGTGTGTAGGCTTCATACATAAAATGAGGGGAGTGAGAATGAATACACTCTCCCTCATCATTCTTATAATTTGGAGAACAATTTGGAGAAATTCCACAGAGAGAATGGTAAGAGCAAGAACTAGTGCAATCATCCCTACTTCCCCTCCTCTTGTATAGAAATTATATGCAAAAAGAATTACTTGTGTTACTTGTAGTTAGGTCCCAACAAAAAATGACATGAAAAATAAAGTATTTTAAGTTTAAAATGATTTAAATATATTCTGTGCAACAAATTCAATCTGGAGCTAATTCATAGTTTGGAAGGTTTGAAAAACACTCATTTTTCCATATTAGTTCACCATCAACTTCAAGTGACAATTGTGCTTGTCAGTCAAAATATTTTTTCTGACAAAAGTTTGATCAATTTGTTTACAGGCAGATCTTAATAAGCAAAAATGCAAGTGATCAAAGCCAACTTGTAACATCAGTTTGCACAATACCATATATAGTCACAAACTGAAGATTTACTACTGCGTAGTCTCATAATTTTCTATTAGCTGCTTACCTAATAATAATTCAATTAAACAAGATTAAATCCACTAGATAAACTTATTATCTCTCCCCCTTCCCAGTGTTTTAATGTGGTATTCTCGTATTATGCTTTCTTCTTCAATAAAAAGAGTGATCCTGGCATGGGGCTTATTTTGTTTTGTTTTTGCTTCATAGCTTCAACATCCTAAAGCCTAAGAGATATTGTGCTGCTGCATTGCCAGTCTATAACCAGATGGTTTAAAGAGGACCCACAGTAACCTAGAGCAAAGGCCATGTCCGCCACCTAAATGCTGCTGTAAGCATCAAATTATCAGTTCCAGAAATGACAATGTTAACTAGGTTCATGGAACATTGCTTCATTCTACAACCTAACTTTAGACGTAGCAAGCACATAAGATATTCAACAAACGTGAATGCAACAGACCTTAACTGTCAGGTAGATTTAAAAGGCCACAAATCAAATTAAAAGTATAATAAGCACAAAAGAGTTTTTCTGTACCTTTTCCTTTCTTCTGTTCTGGAGATTTTGTCTCTGACATTTTTCTTTTGAGAGAAGATGAAGTGTCAGAAAATGGTCTGGATGTAGAATATTTAATATCTTTTAATGATTCTAGTCTCTAGAAAAAAAACCCAGCAGATAATTTGTTTTCCTTCCTAGCATTTTTCCTGCATGTGCAGGGTCCATTTTTTCAGATCAACCAAATGTTCATCCATTGATTGCAACAGGAATTGACTGACCAGCTTGTCCCCAAGCCTGATGTCATGGTCTGAGAGAAAGTGACTGTCCCAAGTCACCCAGCCAGCTTTCATGCCTAAGGCAGGGCTAGAACTCACAGTCTCCTGGTTTCTAGCCTGAAGCCTTAACCACTAGACCAAACTGGCTCTCAAACCAGCAGATATATCCGCTGGAAATTTTTACAAGAACAAATTTACACCCAATATACAGCAGCATTAAATCTCATTTTTTAAATACTGTTCTACTGCAAAATAACATCAACAGAAAAATCAATCAATTTCATTTTCTATATAAATAAATTCATGATCTTAGGTTCTGTTTTGCCCAAATTTAAAAAATACAAATACTAGAAAAACAATTGCCATAAAGAAAGAATACTAAGTATCAGAATCAGTTACAGTTGGAAGAGGTTTACTGAAGTCAATGGATCTCAAGTCCCATTTATTTCAATAGGATAAATAAATTTGGATAAATAATTAGATCTTCTATGACAATTTTTTAAAAGGGACTACAACATGCCATTATTTTATTGCTCTCCTATAGGCTTCCTGCATGTACTGGGCTAAATGGACCACTGAGCTAACCAAGTCAGTATTTCTTTAGGTTCATGTGGATGCACTGCATGTTTCCACTATTTTAACAAGATATTAAATGAAAGTATGGCAGAGGACCAAATCCACATATATTAAAAGCAAAAAATTAACTCGTATTCTTAAAGTATGATACACATTAAACTTCTCTTACCTCCTTGTGCTGCTTTCCAAGAGCATGCGTTTGCCACAACAGTTCATTCTTCACTGACACATTGCACAGAGAGCAACTTAAATTCCCCAAATTATTATATGTAGTTCTTGCAATTAAGAAAATATAATCTCTCAAAACTACAGCACTCTTTATACATTACTCTGAAAAATTAGCATTGTATTCTGTAACTACTCTAATGTTTCAAGTATTGTACAATACCTGAATTGCTAAGTTTTTCACTGAACTTCTAAAAGAACCAAGTGCATGTAACTAACGCAATCTGATCACAGATTATATTTACTTTTTAAAAATCTGTTTGGTTTAGTAAGCATTGTTCAGTGCAGGCTTTAAATTCCCTCACATGCCTAAATAAAATGTTATTACTTTATTTATTGTTTATCTTTTACTGAAACAAAACATAGCAATGCAGCTTCTACTCTTTATCAACAAAAATACAGCAAATCAACAAAAATGCAACAGCGCTTGCAATTTGAATAGTAGAGAATGAAGGAAACCGTGTACTGACTGTTGGAGGATTCTGGTCTTCACTAAAATGTAAACTGGCCACTAGGTTGCAAGTAGGTATTTTCTCAAATCATTTTACTACTACCTTCCTCAATATGGTGCACTACACATCTGGCCAGGCTTGCTGTAGCAGTAGGAGAAACACATACAGGCATAAGAACTAAGGGGGAAGAGCTTAAAGAAAATGCAAAAGCTTTTTTGCCAGTGACACTCTGCAATGCAGAATAGGGGGTTAACCCACTCCTCTCGTTTTCGGGAACAGACATTCTGATTAGATTATAAACTCTGATGTACAAAGTCTTCTTTGTGTTTTATTTCGGATTTGGATAACATGCTATTGACTGCTATAGTTCAGAAAACTCAGTACTCAACTACCCTTCAGAAATGGGAGGCGAGCAACAAAATTTAGTCCACCCTCACTTCCAGTCAGCAACCGACAGATAAAACTCAAAAACGCTCCCCATCGCAAAAAAAGAAGCACCTAGGGCGAAGAAAAGGTAGGATATCTGACGTAGGGCGAGTCAATTTTCCTTTTCCCCGCAGCCGACTCGCGCTGTTTTGCTCGCATTAACCGCCGCAGCTCCTCTTGCCCCACAGTACCAACCGATCGCCGCTGCCCTGAGCCCGAACTCGAAGCCGCCATGACTGTAAAATAAAACTCCGCCCCCTTGCCCGATTTCTCTGCTGCGAGACTTAACATAAAATATGCTCACAATTGCGCCATGGTCGCAGCGATTGTACGTCACGTTGATTCGGCTTTAGAAAACGCTCTGTAACTCCTCCTCAGTTTTAAGAGAAGTAAATTCGAAATCCAGACCAACAAGGAAAAAGAAAATCTCTATGACTAGAGATAAAGCCATAAAAAAAATTTTCTTCTTCTGTAGAAGGGTATGAAGCCGAAACCTTATGGGTGTTTTTGACGTATTTTTATACTTTCCCGCGTTAGATATGAGGTCTGCCTGAATCTGAAGGAATGAGATTTTGATAAAGCTATGAGATGCTGGTCTAATTCAGGTTTTATTCCGAGCGAAAATTACTGTTTTAAAAAAGTTTAATAAATAGTTCTATCAGTGAAGTTCTTGATGCTCTCTGAGCTTGGTTTGCTATCAGACGGTTCATTATCCAATTAGGTAACATCAGCATTAACAGTTCCATCAGTGTTTGTGTTATGAAAATTTATACAATAGTTCACTATTAGTATTATATTATTAATAAAGATGGACTGGAGGTTAGATGAGATTTGTAATTAAAAATTCCAAATAAACTTCAGGTCCAGCAACTGCAAGTCTTCATGCATTTATTTAGCACTTTTTGTTTCTACTAAACACTTCCTGCCAATGAGCTGTTGAATTGTAACTATGTTCTCAACTCCTTTCTTTTCCTTGGAGCAACTGGCCATCTCAAATCTTCCAAGCAAGCACACTTTAAAATCTGCTGAAGGACATAAAAGATTATATACAGGGATCTGAAACTTAAGGCCTGTGGTTCACTGGAGACCTCCAGTCATTTTTTGCCCCCCACAACAATAGTTAGAAAACAGTGTACCCTGTGGGGTATGCATCTCTCATCTGGCAAGGACTACCTCAAGGTAGTAACATTACTCCCTGGCCATTTTGGGGGTGGGTGGGTGAGGGAGACAAGTGAAATGAGATGAGAGCAAACTGGGTTGATGAACTGATAGCACTTTTCATTACACACACAGCAGGGGACCAACTGCTGGAAGTAAGATAGTAGCTTGATCTCCCCAGGCACTATGGATCGTACAAATAGAAGAAATGGCTCTGTGCTCAGCTCCTTGCTCTTACAAACTTGCGCGCTCCCCGACCCTAGCCCTGACTGTGATGGCACTTCCACACAGGCTATGAGGGCAGATACCCCTCTGCCTTTTCTTCACAGTCCAGGATCTGGAGCACCTAGTGAGATTGGCAGATTGCCACCTGTCAGAAAACGACAGACACGGGTTCGGTTGTCCAGTAGACAGAAGTTTTTTATTGGGCACGTTTGCAAAGGTGGGTCCCTCCCTCAGCAATGGAGGAACCCTGAAACAAGA